TTGTGCTTCTTGCCACGTTGTACGAAAAGTGACTTTTGCCATATTTTCAAGAATATCTTTAAGCGCTTTTACATTTCGCTTTTTTAACGCTTTGGCTTCCTCCTAAAAATAAACATTTTTATTCATTTTTTGTTGTTGTTTTTTACTAATCGTGGACATTAAAACATACTTTTTCTTTTTTTTCTAAATAATTAACAACATCATCATACAATTCTCTACGCTCTCGTTCCGGTACTGATGTCCAAATATTCAAGTGTCCAAATATTTGTTCAGCTTTTTTATATTTAATTGTCGAATTCATATGTTCACATTGCTGGAGATACGTTTCAAATTCTTCTTTGATTTGTTTCAGTTTAATTCGTTCTTGATCTTTGTCTTCTTTGATTCGTTGGACTTTATAAGCATTAAACGCTTGTTTTTTCTCATTAATATGTTTTATGGCTTGATATCGAGCATCAGTACCTTTAAAAAAAGTATTATCCTACAGCTGAACAAACTTATTACATATTTTTCCTATGTGAACTGGAAAAAAATCTCTTGCAATGACGCAGTAGAACTTTTTACCAATCAATTTTAACGCTTGTTCCCATGTGGCGGTTGATGGTACATTTTTCTCTCTTAATAGTTCTTTGAATGCGTCCATTGCTTCTTTTTTATTTTTAAATTCAATTTTTGGTTGTTGATATTGAGGTGTGTTTGTTGAACTTTCGCTGTTATTATCATCATCTTGACCATCCTTTTCATTATCAGAATCCGTGTCATCTTGACTCTGACGACTATTCTCATTTGATGGCAAATCAATTTCACCCAATTGTTTTCCATCGGTTGAAGTAAGACTAGGATCGAATGGTTGCATTGGATTCATCATTTGAGGAATTCCAAAGGGCATCATTGGAGGCATTAAACCGAATGGAGAAACCATGGGTGGTAACGGAGTAACTGTTGTTGACTGTGTGACACTGAATTAAAATTAAAAAAAACAAAGGTGAAGTGCTTCATGCAAAATGCTTAACACTAATTTATAACTTGTTAAAGACTTAAAATCCATACTGTGCTCAGTCACTGACAAATTTATTACCATAGTGAGAACAAAATATGGGTAGTATATTTCCTGAGAACAGAGGCTGAAATTTCTTACTTTTGTGCATTTTGTTCTTGCTGTTGTTGCTGTAAAAGTTTTTCTAAATCTTCAAATTCTTTTGGTTTTATCCACCTTGATTCTTTTGTTTCAACATTATGAAAATACACTCGACCATTTTGTGCTTTATATTCTCTCCATGGACATTGAGCTAACATTAACTAAAATTAGACAGAGAGCACGCTTAATCAACGAAAGGATAGAGCTAATTAGTATTCCCCATAGACTAATTGAAGATAAACTTTGGCGTTTATTTTCAGAATAATCGCATAACAACTTATTACGCTGGAATCAAAACGTTTGTTTTGAAGCATTGAAAGAAACCAATCTATTTTTTTTCTATAGTAAAGAACAAACTTTACAATACAATGTTACTTATTACTCAGGATCAACTTAAAAAATATTTGATTCTGCATACGAAAAGAGTATGTACGATGTGCAGTTGTTCAATCTTTTAACAGAAATAAAATATAAGTTTTCTTACTTCAACTTGTGTTTTAAGCTCATCTGGTTTATCCCATTTTGATTCTTTAGATACACTATTATAGTAATATGTTCGACCATCCGGTGCTTTGTGTTCAGTCCATAAAGATTTTTTCGTATTATCTGACAATTGAGGAGCAGCGTAAATTGTTGAACCATCTTCAGACTAAATACAAGATAGTAAATAGAAACAGACTACATTTGATGAATTTGTATTAGCTATATCAACACTTACTTTCATTGATGCACTCACTAGAAAAAAAGGGAAAATCACTATTAATCAAATGATACAGGTTTCAATTCGCTAAATAGAAATATAAAAAGGCTAACTTACAGAAAATTTTAGTACCACACACAAATGGTAAGTCCACCAATCCACTTAGAAAATATAGCAAGCTCTAACGGTAAGTAACGGCAGTACTGAAAATCTTTACTTACTGTGTGCAAAACCAGTTACAGGTGGTGGTGGTGGTAGTAAGGGAGGCACCATCGGCATCATTCTTCTCGGACCCATCATCGGAATACCCGGATAATAGGCGTTCGAATGCATCATATTATTCATCTAAAAGTAAACAAAATCCAATGCTTCTTTTAGAAAAGTAACCTTTGTAATACGCATGAGGATATTTTACGATGTGACATTGCTGATCAAGCCTAAATCAAGTAAATTTTAGGGACGATTATCTTAAACACATCAGAAGAGGATGTCTTGAGATTCACTAATTTTCTAACAGCTATCACAGAGAAAAAGTACAGTTTATCTTTTAAAATTTATTTCCATCTTTGTGCAAGTTGCATTTTAATATCATTAAAATCCGTCCACTCGAAGAAGGATTTGTTTTCATCTTTCAGATATTGACATAATGAATCTCTTGCGAATACAAGATCAGCTTTCATCGATATGTTTAAATCTGTTAAGGAATCGCCAATAATTATCTTTTCATTAAAACCGTCTTTGCAATAATCGTTCATCACATCGACTTTTGCTACTAATTCATTTCCATTTTCAAACTTTGACTCCACTTTTAAATATTCTCCACTTAAATCAACGTCCAATGCATAGATAGAAGCACAACGATCTAGTAATTGTTCACGTCGGAGAATTGTTTCAACTATTGAACGCAAACCACCTGATACAACTATAAACGGTACTTGTTTTTCATCAAGGAAATCAAGCAGAGATGAAAGACCACTACGAATCGGTTTATCAGAAATGTATGTTAAAATTTGCTCAAACTGGTTAGATGGAATTGAGTGTAATATTTGACGAACACCATCGCGTAACGTAACTTCTTTTGCAAATATTTTTGGTACTAAAACAGAGCATAATTCAGGGGAAAATGTTTTCAGCACTCCGAGAAATGTTTCAACAGAAGTTATTGTACCATCAAAATCACAGAACACAACAGAGTTTCGGTTAGTAGACATGAAAAGAAGGGAACTAGTTGTTCTTACAGAATTTAAATGAATCGAAAAGAAAGATTGAACATGTCAAAATGGTTGTCTGTCTGTCTTGCATCTGTGTCTGTGTGCAAAATACGGAAAAATGGCTGTTAGATATTGTATGGATAAGCGAATCACAAGACAGAAAAGTAGAAAATTATTTTTCACACACAAGAAAGAAAATATTCAAAGAGATAACTGAAAAAGTTGCAGAGGGAAAAAAAACTAAGCAAACGTGTCTGTAGTTGGGGGATGGATGTCGTGGCAAATCAGTCCATTTTGAGCACACAAAAAAAGTCATCTACGGATAATAAAACTTACAGAATATAGATAGTCTATCATGATGAATCGGTCAGAAATACCCGCAGCCTCGCTTCGAATCATCAGCGGGTGTCCAGAAAACTTTTTAGCCTTATATTCGGGTACATCCATTCAGGTCCGCTCACTTTATATAGACATGGCAGTCACAAAAATTTCAACACTCCTGTCATATAGAGTATAAAAAGTTTCATAGAATCCCGTATTTTTTCGCATAAAAAGTTATATTCTACATGCCTGTTTAGGGGTATCACGTGTTGAACCCTTTTACAATGAAGCAACTTTGACCTTGTTTTTCTCTACATCCATAGAGTTAACATCAACGTTTAATATACCATACGAAGGAGCAGTTCGAGTAGTATAAGTGCTGATACTCAAAACGTAAGAGACTAAGACTAAGACTAAGATTGTTTATTCACGAAAAGTGAGAGTCATCAAAGGTCACCGATCTGTAGTAACAATGACTCAAGCCAAACAACACCAAAATAGTAATAAAAAAATAACAAAATAGAGAAGACAACTAAGATTAGAACCAGAAGTAGTAAATAAAACACAAAAATTTTTAAAAAAACAAAACAAAACAAAAACAAAAGACAAAAAAGAACAAACATAAATGCTTAACTGACAAGCGTTTCACTGGAAGAGATACTGAAGTAAAGCTGTTTTGAAAGACATAAAAGAAGAAAGACAAATAACTGACTCTGGAAGATTATTCCAATCAGTAATAGTTGAATAAAAAAATGAAGAATGCA